GCCAATATGTGCTCCGAGAGTATTTATTGGAAGAACGAACAGAAGGAGTGAATGATACCTACACAGATTAGTGAACCCTCCCCAACGATGTTCATCTAAGGAGCACTTGCTGTATGCCTGGCTTTGTGCTAGCGTGTCATTTGACCTGACAGTGGCCCTTTGAGGCAGGTCTGGTAATTGTCCCCATTTCCCCAATGAGGAGACAGGCTCAGAGAGCTCAGTGGCTCACTCAGGGGCAGGGAGCTTGGGTTGGGCCTGGGATCCCCCGACCCAAACACCCTAGCTCTACTCCGCCCAACCTCACTGCTGAAGAGGGAAGGCCCTGGGAGATGCTGTACTGGGGGAGAGGAGGATGAGTGGCTGCTGTCCCCTGGGCCCGTGGGAGCCCTGTCCTGTCCCAGGAGCTCGTGGGTCATGGTCCAGTCAGACCCTCAAAGCTCCAGGAGAAGTCAGCTCTCTGTCCAGGTGGGTACCGGCAGGGGTGGGGGTGGGGTGAGGGGGCAGGTGAAGGCCAGGGGCCTGGGACAACTGGATGCTGGGGGGCTCCGGGCCTCCCCCAGCATACCCTATAGGTAAGCCAGGTACCTTCCGGGAACTATAAAGGCTCTTGGTTAGGTACTTGGGTGGAGCAGTGAGGGCCTTCTGATGAGCAGGGTGCAGTTCCAGGTGGGCCATCCTGGGTGACCTGGGTGTGAGATGCCATAGTTTGCAGGAGTTCAATCATCCCAGTGACCCTGGATGCAAAAGGGGTGCCTCTCCTCATTGACCAGAGAAAGTAAACCGAGGGCAGGGCAGAACCAGGAACTGGCCAGTGTTACAGCAGTGAGGCAGGTGGCAAGGAGGCCTCATGCCTCAGCTGCTGGCTCCTGAGCTGGGGGTATCCAGAGCTGCCGGGGAGGGGGTGCAGATGGTTGGCAAGACCCACTCAGCCCTGGGTGGAGCCCCGGACCCTTGGGCCGAGAGCACCAGGGTTCAGATCCCTGCCGGGTCATGTGAGTTCTCCTCTCTGAGCCTCTGTTTTCTCATCTGTAAAATGGGGGAAAATGTTGCTTCTCTTGCAAGGTTTTGGGAGGCTGTGATGTAAGCTTGTGTGTGCAAGGTCTGAGCACACAGTAGGTACTCAACAAGTGTTAGTTCCTCTCCATCCCATCTCCTAGGGAGCTGAGACTCCCTTCTTCTTCCTGCAGATTAGGGGCCAGCAGAGGGCTGATTCTGAGTACTTCCGGGAGCTGAGTACTTGCCTGGCTCTGAGCCTCAGGGCTATTGCCTGCCTTCTATGGAGCTGCAGGGTTCTCACCTGGCAAACGGGGAAAGAATTATCTCCCTTCCCTTACACAACTGTTGAGAAGGTAGAAATGGAGGAAACCCAGGGGGTTTTTACAAAAGGAGGACGACTTCTAGCACCTGCTGCCCTGGCACAAACTATGTGTGTGGGGGAAGGGGATGGTGCCCCTCTGACTCTGCTGGGGTGCCAGCTTGGGAGTGGGGAAGGCTTCAGGCAGAGGTAGGAGGTAGGAGGTTCGGAGGTGCTGAAAGGACTGGCTGGAATGAAATCTAGGGCCCATTGGCCTGGGCTTGAATCCTGGCCCTACACCTTACCAGCTGGAGACCAAGGACAAGTTACCAGACCTTTCTGAGTCTCACTTCACTCATCTGTGAAGTGGGGGTGGGGGTATTCAGAATAGTCCCTCTGCCAGGTTTGGGAAGATCATTGGAATTGTGTGGAGTCAGGGTGTGCAAACGTCCCTCAGCTTCCCTCCCCTTCTCGGGGTCATAGGATATGGTCGGGGAGCTGGGAGGCCGTAGCTGGGATACTAATGGCACAATGGCAAAGCTGTGAGAGATGTTAGGGGCCAGAATTGAGGGATTGGAGACAGCTGTGGGTTAGCATTAGTCTGTAAAGTGGGGTGTTGCCCGAGGGGACCACTGGGACCTCGGGATGACAGTGATAGAATTTCCAAATTCTGGAGCAGCCCGGGTGACTCAGTGGTTTAGCGCTGCCTTCAGCCCAGGGCCTGATCCTGGAGACCCGGGATCGAGTCCCACGTCAGGCTGCCTGCATGGAACCTGCTTCTCCTTCTGCCTGTGTCTCTGCCTCTCTCTTTCTCTCTGTGTGTGTCTCTCATGAATAAATAAATAAAACCTTAAAAAAGAATTTCCAAATTCTTCAACTATATTTCTTATTAACTTCTGGACTTTGTGTGTATGTGTGTGTGTTTTACGATGTTCATGAAAAGCTGAATGGTAGCACATGCATATAATTATGAAGTAAAGAACTGTAGAGGAGTGTGTTCGAAAGGTTTTACTGACATAGGGACATGATCAAAATACCTGCACCCTCTGGGGTGCAGGTTAGCAGGGGCTCTGAGATGTTTTGGGGGAGTGGGGTGGGTGCCAAGGTGCCAGGAGAGTGCTCTGAGGGTGGGACTCTAGTCTCCACTCTGTCCCCAACTTGCTGTATGTCCTTGGGCAAGCCACCTAACCTCTCTGAGCTTATCAACCAAGCAGAGGGCACTTATAAAATACGTGGGCAGAGGCTCTTTCAAGCAACTGGAGGTTGGAATTGTCTGATTCTGAGCTTCATTCCAGGTCTCAGACAACTCTGGATTCTTGGGATTTCCAGTCTTCTCTTGCCACACCTGGCCCGTCTAAGCCCACCCACCAACACGCGTCTTACCTGTGCTCCGCTCGCACACCCCCAGGGGTGGGGAACTCACCCTCCCACAGGGTGCCCTGTCCTGTTCTGGATGCATCTGTCCTCTGCTTCCCTTTCTCCTTCCCTCATTAAAGGTGAAATTGGGAAGGGGAGGGGCTGGGGCCCCAGGCTTCAGGGGCTGAGGAAGCGGCTTTTCTCTCTTGGGTTGTTTCCTGTGGGTTCCAGCCACAGCCCCCACAGCATCAGCCTTCCGCTCTGGGCTGCTCTCAACATTTTGGTGAAACAAAGCTGTTTTTGTTTCACCCTGCACCAGGTTGAGGGGGCAGCTAGAGTGAGCTCCATGTCCAACCCCCCACCCCACCCCCAGGGCCCTGCTCCAGTCTGGCTCTGCCACCGCATGCAAGCTCACATCAGTCAAACGCAGATTGGTTTGCTGAGCACCCCAGGCTCAGTGCTTTGCAAATATGGTGCAATTTATTCCTTACTCTATGCAGTGATTGCCAGTTTCCAGATGAGAAAACTCGGAGAGGTGAAATGAGTTGCCCAAGGTCACATACTGACTTGGATTCAAATCTATCTCTGACTCTGGAGCTCAGCTCTTTTTCACTCTTCTGTGTGGTCCCCTTCTGCCCCCCTGAACATAATGTAACATGGCAGGAGGACACATTGAGACCTACGTCTAGGAACGCCTGGGTGGCTCAGCAGTTGAGCATCTCTGCCTTGGGCTCAGGGCGTGATCCTGGGATCTGGGATCGAGTCCCACATTGGGCTCCTTGCAGGAGGCCTGCTTCTCCCTCTGCCTATGTCTCTGCCTCTCTCTCTGTATGTCTCTCATGAATAAATAAATAAAATCTTAAAAAAAAAAAAAAAAGAGAGACCTGCGTCTAAGCTGAAAAAAACCCAATCAGCAAGCGGAAAATGATGTTGGTGTTTGGGTGCCTGCCAGTTAAGCATGAGTTCTAATGCAGGGCCACCCAGGAAGCCAATGTAAACTTCGGCCATATTAATAGAGGTAGGGCATCCACTACAAGGAAGAAAATAGTCTTGTGATTCTCAGTACAGGCAGATGGTGCCTGGAGAACTGTGTGTAGTGGTGGGCGAAGGGAAGGAGGCTTGTTGCAGGGACATGGACACGCAGAAGACCGCAAGTTCCTGTGGCTGGAAGTATTTAAATAGAGGCTGCTTGGCCCAAGAGTCCTGTGTTGGATGGCAGAGGGCACAGGCAAGGTGACCTCCAAGGTCCTTTTTTTTTTTTTTAAAGATTTTATTTATTTGTTTGAGAGCAAGAGAGAGAGAGAGAAAGTGGGAGGGCAGAGGGAGATGGATAAGCAGACTCCCCTTGAGCAGGGAGCCCGACATGGGCCTGGATCCCGGACCCTGGAATCATGACCTGAGCTGAAGGCAGACGCTGAACCTACTGAGCCACCGAAGCGTCCCTCCAAGGGGGCTGCAGTTTTGTGGCTGGACTTCAGCCATCACCAGGGCCACAACACTCGGACCCATCAGATTTGGATGGGGCTCATTCATTTGTCCGCCCACCCTGTCCCTCCATCCACCCATCCATCCTCTACTACAGTAGCTGGAGTGGTGAACGAGAGGCTTAAGCCTTCCCTGCCTGGAACCTACAATCCAATGGGGGTAACAGCAATCATAATAGCGAGCCTTGGTGCTTTAAGTGAGTTATTCCATCTGGCCACAGTACTGCTCTGCGAAGCAGGTATTATGATCTGCATTTTGCAGATGGAGAAATCGAGGGGCCATGGGGGATGGGATTGACAGGGCTCCCTGGGGATCAGTTGGTGCCGGGCTATGTTGATAATTCTAAGAACCTGGAGCTCTGTGATGCTCAGATGCTGTGATTAAGATCCCATGATGGCCAGAGCCTGTTGTTGTAAAAGGGGGTGCTGAAGAGGGGCCCAGTCACTGGTGGAGGAGCCCTCAGGGCCGCCCCACCCCCCACTTTGGGCTTCAGTAGTCACAGTTATCATTTTAGTGAGAATCAGGCGTGGTTCTAAGTGCTCTCCCGGGATGTTCGCACTTTCTCCTCATAATAACCCTCTTAAGTAGCTCCAGGCATTATCCTCATCATACAGATGGGAAAACTGAGGCACAGAGAGGCTGAGCAACTTGCCCAAGCTCACACAGGTGGAAAAGGAAGAAGGAGCTTGAGCTGTCTATCTGTACAGGCCACACTTTATCCCCAGGAGCCCCATGGACCCAGCCTGCCGGCCTTCCGTCTCCTCCAGGAGCCTCCCCACAGGCCCCCACTCTGGACTGCCCGCCACCAGGGGTGGGAGGCGGCAGGGTGGAGCTGTGAACTGACCCACGGTCTGTCTGCCTCCAGATCATGAGTGTGTTGCTGTTCACCGAGCACTTAGTGGAGGTGGTTCATGGCAAGGCCTCCTGCAAGGTCTGGCGGACGGGCTACCTCAGGCTCGGTAGGTGCAGGGAACTCCGGAGCGGGAGGGGCAGGTGCAAGGAGGGGCAGGTGTGGGGAGGGGCAGGTGCAAGGAAGGTGTGGGGAAGGGCAGGTTGGGGAGGGGCGGGTGAGAGGAGGGGCCCTGGCTGTGGGCAGACTGGCTGAGGTCTGACGCCCCACCTCTTCCTTCTGAGCCTCAGGCATTTCATCTGCAAATGGAGACCTGTCCCCACCCTAGTATCTAGGTGTGAGAGCAGACAGGAAGGTGCTTTGTCAATCTGGCCGGCCTGGGAAGGTGACAGCAGGACTTCCTGCTCACATCTGTCTGTGGCTGCCCACCACCCTGGAATAAAACAGAAACTCCCACCGTGGCATCCAGCCCCTGCCGACCTCTGGCTGCGGGTCCCAGCACCCCCTCGAGCTCCCTGCTCCCGATGGGCTGACCACAGCAAGCTCAGCTGCCTGAGCTCCTGGTCACTCAGCTCACAGGCTCGCCTCCCCCTGGCTAGAGCAGCCCGGGGCCACCCTCTCACCCTGCAGCCGGTTACCCGAAATGTTGTGTTTGCTGTCTCTGTGGTCCCCCAGGGCTGAGAACTGCAGGAGGGCAGGGTCTGGGCTGGCTTGCTCACTGTCACGGCCTCCACACCAGTGATTCCCAAAATGTGGTCCTCAGAACCCGCATGGGTGTCCTGGGGGCACCTCCGGGCCCCTCACTACTGTCCCTTGCCTTTCAGCCAACCTGATCTCCAGCTTCCTGCTCATCATCATGCTCTTTGTCATCAGCTTGAGCCTACTCATCGGAGTGGTCAAGGTGAGGGCTTGGTCGGGGTCTGGGAGGTTCTGGGGGCTGGCCAGGAGCCTCAGCTATCCTCCTGCCCCCTTCCTATTCACACCCACTGGGTGAACAGCACTGACAAGAGGGTGGGAGGTGGGTGCTTTGGGAGACCCCACCTGTGCCCCAGGGATCTTCATAATTGAGGACAGTTTGGGAAGCCTCGTTTCCACACCAGCTTTCTGGGGCTGGAGGCCCTGGCTCCCCGCTGACACGCACCCTCCAGGGTGGGGGCACGCACACAGATACTTTGGTCATACTAGCTGCTAACCTTCATGGTTGGAAGCTGCAAATGCAAGAAGCAGGGAATTTTGGTAGAGAAAAGAGGAAGGGTCATTTTGAGGTGTGGGGAGGTGAAAAAATAGTGGGTTTTGTAATCAGTGAGAGGAACCAGAGCAGAAAGAGCAGGGGGGTGGGTAGACTCTTGTGGCTCAGTTCCACCCAGCTAGCTGGGGAGGGAGGAAGGGAGGGAGGGAGGGAGGGAGGGAGGGAGAGAGAGAAAGAGAGGGAGGCTGTAGCGCAGTCTTCTGCGAAGAGGAACCGGTCTGTCCCTCATCCCCCAGGGGGCAGGAAGCCAGGGCCTCACTGCACAGCCACCAAAGCAGGACCCAGCAAGAGTGGCCTCTTCCAGGGAGCCTGTGGCCTGGCAATCACTGGCCAGGAGACTGGTGCAAGGAAGGATCAGGGGCTGCTTTGGAACGCCTTCACCTTGCCTGCACCCCCCCTCATCCCTCCCTTAGCTAACAGCACCCTTTCGAAACTCTGTACCCCAGGGAGTGATTTTACCTTGTGCCAGGTGGGTCCTGGATTATTGTGCAGAGACGCACATGGTCCAGCTAGAAAAGTGGACTGGGTGGTCCAGAAGGCCCTGAGATTGAGTCTGGGCTCTTCTGGCTGCCTCCTGAGTGATTTTAGACAGCCACATGAGAAACCACAAAACCACCCCTTCTGTGATTTTGTCCCCAGTGGCGAGTTCATGTGCCCTCATACTGGTCACAGTAGTCACTCGCTTTAAGTTGAAGGGGAGGGACTTCAGCCTCAGCCACCCAGGGCCTCTGACCATGACCACACACCTCAAGAGTGGCCCCCACAGAGAAGGGTCCCACCATTGCAGCAGTGTGGGCTTCCCCTGCCACCATTGGACCTTTGCTCATGTTGGCCCTTCTGCCTCCAATGCGCTCCCCGTTTCCCCCATGGGTCTCACCAGATCTAGCCTCAGGGTCCCCACCTCTAGGAAGTCCTCTCTGATGTAAAAAAGGTTTCTTCAGAGCAAGCAGGGTCAGAGCTGGCTCCCGGTGGCCCTGGATCTCTGTAGATGGGGTAGATGGGGACCCTTGCTCGTATGTCCTGGGACACCAAGACGACGGGCCCTCAAGGCCTGGGTTTTACCTCCTCCCCATCCCAGAACCTCAGTCAGAGGAAGGTGCATGGGTCCACCTGAAGCTAAGGCAGGAGGGGGTGACGGGAGAGAGCCGTGTTACCCGGGGAGGGACAGGAGCTGTCGGTGCCAGGGGGCGCATGGGGCATCAGTCTCCGGCAGACTGCCTGACAGTGCTGGGCCTGTCTTCCAGAACCGGGAGAAGTACCTGCTGCCCTTCCTGTCTCTGCAAATCATGGACTTCCTGCTGTGTCTGCTCACCCTGCTGGGCTCCTACATCGAGCTGCCCGCCTACCTCAAGTTTGCCTCCCGGAGCAGCCGGGTGGTGAGTACACAGCCCGGTCCCACGTCCCATAGTCGCCCAGCCTGGGGAGGGGGCAGGGGCTCAGGCTGGTGTGGTGGCGGTGCCCTGGGGCCCTCCCAGGCTGATGAGCCTGAGCCCATCCAATCACCCCAAGTTCCTTTGCCTGTAAGATGCACCTGCGAGGGCTGCCACCGTGTGGGCTACGGGCATTAAGTGAGGAAAGGTTGCCCTCTGAGGGCCCAGTGATGCCCCTGTGGGTCAGGGCCTTGTGGGCACTACATCGCAGGGAAGGGGGCATGCGCACCTCAGTCCCCAGCCTCTGCTTTGTCTCTGTTTTCTCACCACATTGAAGGAAGGAAGATACAGTCGCTTAAAGCCAACAATGAGCATCCACAGGGCGAATGCCAGTGACGGAGCTGCCAATCCCTGACTCTCCCTAACTGTTGCCCTGGAAGTTAGGGAGTGGCTGGCCCCGGGCTGGGCATCGGGAGACCCTGGGCAGAGGCCAGGTCCTGCCAGCCAGGGCGGGAATGTCCAAGAAGCGGGCATCCGTTCCTTTCTGGGTCCTGTGGGCTGGAGAGTCCCCGGTGTCTCTGGCTGATGGCCTCTCGAACAGCACCGGGACCTCCAGCTTAGGGCTTCATTGCTGGTTTGTCTCCTTCTTCCTGCCTTCGCGCCCCAAGGGTCCCTCCAAGGTCCCACTGATGACCTTGCAGCTGCTGGATTTCTGTCTGAGCATCCTGACCCTCTGCAGCTCCTACATGGAAGTGCCCACCTATCTCAACTTCAAGGCCATGAACCACATGGTGAGTCTGGGCCAGGGGCCCGCCCCCATCACTGGCTGTGTGGCCGTGAGCGAGCTGTGTCCCTTGTCTGTGCCTCCATGCTTAGGTTCCCTAGAGATGGAGCCCGGGAGGAGGATGCTTGTGCTAGTGATTGATTGCCGGAGAGCTCCCAGATAGACACTTGAGGAGGACTGGGGACAGCATGGGGCGGGACAAAGGGAAGGAGCCGGGCAGATGTGTGACCTTAGGGGTGGCCCTGCCCCATCCTACAGGGAGCCCTGCTGTGTGAATTCCATCACAGAAATAATACTCGTTTTTTATGCTTGGGGAGAGGGGCACTCAACACATCTCAGAATGGCCCCACGGCTTCTCCGCACAGTTTTAGGGCACTACTCAATATAAGTAAAGAGGACCAGATGACTTCTTCAGGTCCTCTACATCCCTTGATCGATGACAAAACAGCCTGGTCTTTGTAAAGATATGTCCTCAGATTTTTGCGGATCTCCACATTAATACCTCTACAGTATGTCATTATCCCTCCCTTCCCGAATATGGCATAATTTTACCAGAGTAACCACACACACAATACATAAGAAGCTACAAAAACATTCAGAAATGACAGGCTGCGTAATTCCCAGGCTCATTTGTTGCCTACACGACTTGTTCCCACACATCAGTGTTGCAAAATAATGTAACACTTCAGATAGAGCCTTTTAAAAAATATATTTTACTTTTTAATTTAAATTCAACTAATTAACATGTAGTGTATTATTGGTTTCAGAGGTAGAAGTCCGTGATTCATCAGGCTTATATAACACCCAGTGCTCGTTCCATCACGTGCCCTCTTTAATGTCCATCACCCAGATACCCCATCCCTCCCACCCCCTCTGCTCCAGGGACCTTCAGTTTGTTTCCTATGATGAAGAGTCTCTTATGGTTTGTCCCCCTCTCTGATTTCGTCTTGTTTCATTTTTCCCTTCCCTTTCCTATGATCCTCAGTTTTGCTTCTTAAATTCCACATAGGAGTGAGATTATCTGATAATTGTCTTCCTCTGATTGACTTATCTTGCTTAGTATAACACCCTTTAGTTCCATCCAAGTCATTGCAAATGGCAAGGTTTCATTTTTTTTTTGATGGCTGAGTAGTATTCCGTTGTATGTATATACACCACGTCTTTATCCATTCATCTGTCTACGGACATCTGGGCCAGATAAAGCCTTTTTGCATCGTCTTTTATATAATCCCATTTGTTTGGTTTAATGTTGGATTTAGCATGTCACTCCAAAGTGTGCATAAGCCTAACAGAAACTAAACACAACCCACCATCTCATTCTCAACATTAGAAATGATTATGGCAGGGACGCCTGGGTGGCTCAGTGGTTGAGTGTCTGCCTTCAGCCCAGGGCATGGTCCTGGAGACCCGGGATCGAGTCCCACATCAGGCTCCCTGCATGGAGCCTGCTTCTCCCTCTGCCTGTGTCTCTGCCTCTCTGTGTCTCCCATGAATAAATAAATAAAATCTCAAAAATGAAAAGAAAGAAATGATTGTGGCAGTATAGTCAATGATTTTGTGAAGTTCATATCTCAGTTTTATACATATTGTTAAGGCATGATGAAATTCTTGAATCAATGAAATATCAGAGTTGAAGAAATTAAGGATGTCCATGATAAACACACACACACACACTCAAATAAACAAACATAAATAAAGACTTTCTCTAAGGAAAAAAAAAAGAATAATATTCGTTTCTTACAGTCAAATGTAGTGACTTGAAATGGTAAACAGTCGCTGTCTCACACTGTTTCTGAGGACCAGGGATTTAGGAGTGGCTCAGCTGGGTCATTCACGCTCAGCACCTCTCATGAAGTCTCCCCAGAAATGGGGATGGGGCTGCAGATGCCCAAGGGCTTGACTAGGTCTGGAGGGTCCACTCCCACGATGGCTTGCTGGCACAGCGGGGGCGTGCATCCCAGGTATGTCAGGCCTGGGCAGTTCCGTCAATGAGCCTCGCCTCTGGAGAAGGCCCCACTGCAGCCAGAGGTGGGGGCTCTAGCCAAGCAAGAGCCAGCTGGGTGGGCATCTGCTGCACCTGCTTCCCTCGGTGTGCTCGCCCATTGTGGGTGGCCGATGGCAGGTAGCGCCTGCCTCTAGGGCGGTGGCAGGGATCAACAGGGACAGCGGTTGTGCCACGCCACGTCTTCCTCCACGTGTGGACGCTGGAGGAGTTCCTTGGGGGGAGAGGCACTGACTTGGCTCCCGAATCTGTTGCAGAATTACATCCCCAGCCAGGAGGGTGTGGCTCACAGCCAGTTCATCAAGATGATGATCATCTTCTCCATCGCCTTCATCACTGTCCTCATCCTGAAGGTGAGGGCCCCCCAAACACGGCTCTGGGAAGGGTGGGGAGCCCGCGCTGCCCAGGCCCCCGTGACACCAGACTGTCAGGAGGCAGGGGTGTCACCAGCTGTCTCCCACTGATGCCCTCCCTGCTCTTGACTCCTTACTCCACCCCCCACCCCAAATCAGCTCCTTGGACCCCACTTGGGATCCTTGGGATGAAGGATGATGGTGAAGACCATCAGCATCCAGGTGTCAGGGACTTAAGATATAACCCAGAGAGACCCTGATCCAGGGAAGGAGGAGAGATTCAGAGAGTTTTGGATGTGAGTCCCAGTTCTCCCCTTGCTAGCTATGAGGTTTCCTTTCAAGCCATTTCTCTCTGGGCCTTGGGTCTCATCTGTGAAAGGGACAGAATGAATATTGCTTTGCCCTTCTCACAGTTTTATATGATTTAGGCACCAACATGTAGATGGCTCCTGAGGTCATATTATTAGAGGTTTGCTCATGTGGAGGAGGGAGGGGAATGGTTTTATTCTTCTCTGAGGTGGTCAGGCCCAGAAGATAGAGTCCCACTTCAGGTCCCCATTCTAAGAGAGATATGACAGACTGGAGTGTGTTAATAGCAGCACAACCAGGAGGGTGAGAAGGTTAGAACACTCTGCCATCTGAGGGAGTCAAGGAAACGAGGGCAATTCAGCTTGGAAAGAGGAGACACGATGGCTATCTCCAAGTACCGGAAAGACCCCCATGGGGATTCTAGAGGCCAGAACTAAAGCCAGTGTCCCAAAGCCCAGGGGAGGCTAATGTCGACTCAACAGAAGGAAGGGCTTTCAAGAATGTTCTTTTCTAATTGTGAAAGTAACGTAGGGTCACTGTAGAAATTTGGAAACAACAGAAGACCAGAAAGAAGGCAATCAGCTCACCATCCACCACCACTCAGCGCCCCTGATATCTGAGCACATTTCCCCCCAGTCTTTCTGTGTGTGTGGGTGTAACCGGCTGTCCCTGCCTCCTTTTACTGGGGACCCCGAGCAGCCTCTGCCACCGCCTAATGCCATCCTGGAAACGGAACTTCACTCCTCTGAGCCTTCCCTCAGAGGACAGACCTCTGTCCCTCAGAGGACAGACATTGCTTCAGGGCAATGAGAACTTTCCTGAAGGCTTGGGGGAACCAGTGCGGGTTGGCGTCATACACGGTCCTGGACGGTGACTCCCCAAGGCCCACCACACACTCTGTCTCTCCCGCCTCCAGTTCTTTATCCCCCTTGAAGGGGACTTCTCTCTGTGTTCCTCACGCACCTCCCTGGCCACCGTTCTCACCTGCTTCCTACTTCATTCTTTTAACATTCATTTTATTGATTCCTGCCGCCTCTAAGTCCCCACCATGGGGTTCCATGAAACGAGAAGACTTCCAGAAGGCAGGACCCACCTCCTTCCTTAGGAGGCAGATTGGGGGCAGAGAGAGACCCATTGGCTATTGTTCCTTGAACAAGTCCTGGGGGCTTCACTCCTGGCCTCGGAAGTCCCGGCAGGCAGTGCTCTTCCATCAATCGCTAAGAGAAAGCAGTTGCTTACATCACTTGCCATCTCAGGAGGTAGTGTGCTTCCAGCCTCAGGGGGCGGAGAAGAATGGTTTGCAGGGCCATTGCCGGGGAGGTTGGGCCCCCCAAAGCCCCCTTCTGTGCTAGGTGTGTAAGGCAGTGGAAAAAGCAATATTAGGAATACCTGGGGCTGGCAGGTGAGGTACCCCTCAACCAGGAAGTGCCCAGCATCTGTCCCAGGCATGCTGGGGCAGTGGGAATGGTCAATGAAGCATAGTCTGACCTGGGTCTTTTTGCAGGTCTACATGTTCAAGTGCGTGTGGAGATGCTACAAACTCATGAAGTACATGAACTCAGCTGAGGAGAATAGCAGCTCCAAGATGCTACCGAAGGTGAGCCTGGGGATGGGGAGGGCCAAGCCCCAGCTCTGCCACTCACCCCGTCACCTGGGGCAGGTGTCTCTCCTTCCCTGGGTTTCGGTTTCTCCACTTGTGAGATGATTGGGCCAGAAGAAATGTGAAGGTCTCTTTCGGCTCTGATAGTCTAGGCTTCTGTTCTTTCATTCATGCATTCCACAATTTTTGCCTCTTACTCTTTGTTGGCCTAGTCTCCAACCCTGGGAGTGCAGAGAAAACTGAGATGTCACCCTGTCCTAGGGGAGGGTAGAGCCCAGAGTGAATCCAGACACAGAGATTGGACTGCAATGTAGTGTGAAGCATGGGGGAAAATGGGAACACAGAGGAGGTACCTGGCCTCCTCTGGGGTATCAGGGAAGGCTTCCTGGAATGGGTGACACTTGACCAAATGTCAAACTGTCAGCTGATGCAAGTTAGCTGGGAAAGGGGAAAGGGCCTTCTAGGCAGAGGGATGAGGTGCACTTAGAAGCAGCTTGTTGGAGACATGATGGAAAGAGTGTAGCTGGTTTACATTTCCCCTGTCACTTTCCTCATCTATAAAGTGGGGATTGTATTAGTGGAGACTCTTTTGTTTGCAAGTGGCAGAAGCCCAACTCAATCTGACTTACATGGAAAAAGGAAATTTATTTGCTCCCAGCACTTCAAAGTCCAATGGAGGTCTGGCTCGTGGAGGCTGGCTGAGTTGTGACACCTGGATGTGATCTCATCCTCTCCATCTCTTGATTCTGCTTTGTTGGGTCCATTTTCAAGCAGCCGTTTCCTCATGGTGGCAAAATGGCTGCCAACCCCCCCAGGTTGACATCCTACCCTTTCCACAACCCCAGGAGCATGTCTGATGGACCAGCTGGGGTCACTAACCAAATCCCAAACCAATGACGTTAGCCAGGGAGGATGAAATTCTACTTTGAATGGCCATACTCAAGTCACCTGTCCCACCCCTGACCTGAGGGGTGAGACCAATTCTGAAAGCACGTGGACTGAGAAGGTTTTCCCGGGGAAAATGGTGCATTGTCAACACGACAAGGGGGCTTGAAGCTGGACAGGCAGAGATGAGTCTGTCCCCTATAGGAATAGACACTGCCCCTGTCTCGTGCATGCCGTGTCTAGCATAGGAAGTACCCAAGGTGTGCTGGTCCTCACCATCAACCATTTTGCCGGAGGTGGGGATTGGATGGAGCCCCTTGACTCCACGTTGGGATCCTGGTTCCTTCCGGCCCAGTCCTTAGCCCCCATGTCTCTGTTGCTCCTAGGTGGTCCTGCCGTCCTACGAGGAAGCCCTGTCTCTGCCATACAAGACTCCGGATGGGGGCCCAGCCCCACCCCCCTACTCAGAGGTGTGACGCACACCAGGCCCCAGCCCTGGTGCTGGGAGGGGCGGAGCTGTCTCACCATCCGCTTCTCTGCTTTGGTGGCCGCCTCAGCTTGGGTGACCCACCCAGCTGACTTCAGGACAACCTGCTTGTGTCCCCCTCGCTGGCCTGCTTTTCCCGTGGGGCCTGGGAGATGCTCACAACTGGGTCAACTTCAGTCTGAAAGACTCCTTGAGTCTCTCGGAAATTTGGTCCAACAGGCCTCGGCTTATTTTTGATAGGCCCCAACACTTGTTCAAACCATTCATCGTCCTGAATTCAGTGAGTTTGCTGAAACCACTTCAACGTGACCAGTTTAACTGCGTGGCTGACAAATGAAAAGCACCCTTCTTGGTGCAGGGAAACTAGCTCGGTCAGACAGCCACAGTCCATCACATTGGTTTTTAGACCGTTGTCTGTTCACACGGCAACGCAGCCAAGTCATCATGCCTTGGTCCTCCCCACCAGACACATCTGTGCGATTTCTTCAGATTGCTTGTTTCAACAATTATGGAGAGCCAACCACCAGTCGATTCAAACCAGGGATAAAATTCAATAACAACAATAAAAATCAAATTAGTCCCAAACCGTTCCCTTCAATCTAATCCAATAACTGGCTGCCCACTAAGGTCAATTCAGTACTTCTGAGGGGCTGAGTAATTGTTAGTTCGAACGAAAATTCAGGCAGTTGCCAAACGCCATCCAATTGCTACTTCCAGGAAATAACAGTTGTTACAATCACCGAACTGTCCTGACCAACACACAATTGTTTTGCTGAAGACAGACGATCGTCACCAACAACCAGCCGCACGTAATCAGTGTAATGGCGCAGCAGTGGGATCCGTGACGAGGGTGGCGTCAGGCGAGGCTGTCTCCAGCAGCAAGCTGGCGGGCCACTCCGCAGGGTGGCCCATCTGTTGCCAATTCGGGCAGAGGCACCTCTGATCTGCCCAATGCTTGTGCTTATGCAGAAATTTAGCCCTGACATCGGGCAGGTCCGATTGCTGGACTAAATCCACATGTCAGTTCAGTCAAAGCAGGCAAACTCTTTGTGGGCGCAGACCCCGCCAGAGGGGCTTGTTTCGGTGGTGGCAGAAGGGAAGATAGGTCCTCTGGGATCTGGGAGTGGGGGTTCAGAAGGAGAGGGCTGTGTAAGAGGCTCCCCACCGGCACCCCTTTGTTTAATTGCTTTGTGTGTGATGGGGAAGAAGGTTCAATAAAGCAGTGCCACGCTTCTCTTTGGCTACTGTGGTTATTTTTTTTTCTTTTTAAAAAAATTTATTTATTTACTCATGAGAGACACACAGAGAGAAGCAGAGACACAGGCAGAGGGAGAAGCGGGCTCCATGCAGGGAGCCCGACGTGGGGCTTGATCCCAGGACCCCAGGATCATGACCTGAGCTGAAGGCAGAAGCTCAACCACTGAGCCACCCAGGTGCCCGGTTGCTGTGGTTCTTAAATTGTGGTGTAGGCAGGGCTGGGTCCCAGGGCTGGGACCTCCATTTCCCCCCAACACATACGTACACACATACACTGCCCCCCCCGCCCCCGCCCCAGAATTCATTCCGTCCAGAAACAGGGGCCCCGTCCTGCAGCAGAGTGTCATGACCCGGCTCTGTTTCTGATCACAAGTCAGGCCACGTAATTACCCAATGTCCCCCCAGATAAGGTGTGAAGTCTACTCACCTGGAGAGTGCCTACCTGGAGCCAGATCCTGTGCTGGGTGCTGGGGGTGACTGTTAGGGGTCAGACTTGCCTCCAGTTACCCACAGTCTGGGGTGAGAGGAAGACAGATTCATGAGTGATTTTAATAGGCTGTGGCCAACGCCACATAAGGGAGGTTCCAGAGACCCCTAGAGTCAGTGAAGGCTTCTTGGAGGACCTTTCGCCAAGCTGAGTTTGGAAGGATGAGCGGGCAGCAGTAAGCAAAGGGAGGAAGGATGCAGAGGGCCCCCCGTGGAGGTGGGCAGAGGAGCTGGGGTATGTGGGCCAGTGTGGCTGCAGGTGAGGATGGGGAGCCTGGGGGAGTCATGGTGCCTGGATCGTGGAGAGCCTTTGCATTCATTAGGGTCCTTTGGCCGCAAGCCCACCCTGGCTCACTTCAGCCAAGAAGGGCATTTGCATGAAGGAGATGGTTGCAAGTAACAGAAACTTAGTGAGCCAACTTAATTAGAAAAAAATAAAAAGGTGGTTGTGATATTTCTTGGCTCACATAAATGAAAAGTCCAGAGTTTTGGCTTCAGGCATGGTTGGACCTGGGAATTGAATTCTTCAGTAATCTCTCTCTCCCTCTCTCTCTCCCTCTCTCTCCCTCTGGACTTCGTCCTCCAAGGCTGAGCTGCTGAGCCGCCTGCCTGGGAGTGAAGTCAGCAGAGAGCCCAGGGCAGCATGAGTTGGGCTTGGTCACCAGCACTAATGGAGCCTTGAATGTTGTACCCAGGAGCAGGGACTTACCCCAGGACTGGGGAGCTCCTGAAGGGTTTGGGCAGGGGAGTCACGGGGTCAGGCTCTTGAAAGGAGAGCAGATGCAGGAGGTCACAAGAAGGCGGAGGAAGAAGTTGCCAACCTTCTCGGGTTGTCAGCTTTTCTTGGGAGAGCAGATTTCTTTATTGTTTTTATGGCTCTTTGTCAGCTCCCCAAGGAACTGATGAAGGGAGGCTCTAATAGAACTGGACAGCAAGCTCCCATTCACACCTGAGGGAATTGAGGCCCAGAGACGTCAAGTGACTTTCCTGAGGCCACAAAGCCTCAAAGATTAGACCAAGTGCCTTCCTTCCTTCCTTCCTTTCTTTCTTTTTTTTTTTTAAGATTTTATTTATTTATTCATGAGAGACACACAGAGAGAGGTAGGGCTGTGGGATCACACCCCAAGCCAAAGGCAGATGCTCAACCGCTGAGCCACCCAGGCATCTCCCAAGTGCCTTTCTTACCTATTTCAGCGGTGTCTGTTAGGAAGGTCTGAGGCCCCAGCCTGTGTGAATTCTGGCTTCTTGGGGTGATCCATGTAAAGAAGCTCCCCAGAAGCCCCCATCAAATGGGCATTGGGGGCAGAGGTGGTGGGCGGGGGAGTTGGTCTTGTCTCCAGCCTTGAATCCTCTTTAAGAGGACACCAGGGGCATTGGCTGCGTGTCCTGGGGACCCGGTGCAGTGACACCCTCCCCCCACCCCAGCCCTCCTGGCCGCAAGCCAAGGAACAGGCCGAGATGTATAGGGGGATTGTGCCCTGTGGCCAGGCGGCCCGGGGCGCGCTGGCCCGAGAAACAGGAAATAGCTGGGTTTGGGGAAGTTGCGTGGCCTGGCCAAGCCAAGCCAGCCTGCCATCGGCTGGGCAGCCCTCACTATGTCCCTATCAATGCCTCGTTTGAGGCTCACACAGGGGTCCTTTGACAGGGCTGAGTTGGGACCCACTGAGAGGGCCTGTTTGAGCTGGATGCCCGGAAAGGAGCTGGCCCCAGGAAAGCGTGGGCTGCGCGCAGGCTGGGCAGGTGAGGGCGGCCCGTGCAAGTGCTGTCTGTCCAAGGGAAGGAGAGTCTGAAAGATTAAATCTGGGTCCCTGAGCGTCAGTTTCTCAGGACTGTCATGGTAGCAGGAATGTTCCCCCAGTATTGAGTAGACTTCAGTGTCATCTCTGAGACTCTCCCACCTGCCCCGTGTGGCCGGCGCTGGGTGATGATTAATCCAGAGGCTCAGAGCCAGCAAACCACTTGCCCAAAGTCATGATCAGTTGGAGGGCAGAGCTGGGGTTTGACTCCGACAGGCCTGACCGGAGTCTGGGCTTGTCCCTCTGGTCCGTTCTGGCCTACCTCAGCCATCCCACAAGCTGAGCAGATCGAGGGCATGATTTTAGAAGCTCAGGAAGCCCCTGGAAGCTAGGGACTGATGTATAACCATCGTTGTGCACCTGGCACTGAGGACAGGCCTACTCAAGAGCCCCGGTGCCACCTGTGGTGGAAGACAGGGGTCCATTATGGGTGGTGCAGAGCTCAGACAGAAAGAAGGCTGATGGGGGAAGTGGCCCAGGGGAGGTAGGGGGTGTGAACTCAGGCAGTGGCCATGGGGCTGGGTAGATTCAAGAGGCATTTGGGAAGCAGGACCCGCAAGGCCCGGATGTAGAAGTGAGGAAGAGAGAGCATCAAGGCTGGTGCCCATGTCTGGAGAGCATTTGAGATGGTGGTGCCCAGCTTTGAGCTGAGGATGGGGAGCAAAAGAGGACGTGCTGAGTTTTGCTTGCATTTGTGCTACCTTGTGGCACACACGATGGGAATGCTCAGGAGGCAGCTATGGCTATAGGTCTGGAGGTCAGGAGAGTGAAGAAGGAGGCAAGCTGGGATGTGAGTGTCATCTGTGGACATGTGGGTGGGATGTCATTTGGGTGGGGTGTCATTGAGGTCCACGGAGGTGTTAACCCATCGTGGGACATAATGCTGACCTGTGGCCACCCGTGCCCTTAGATGAAAGCCCATGTCTCCTTGTCCCATCCAGCCTCTGGCTTCCCACCCTGTCTGACTGCTTGTAGAGCCCGTGAGCAAGCAGCATGTGTGAGGCCTGATGGACACATGAGAGGGCTCATCTGCAGTGGAGTGGCCCCGAGGGGCCGTGGACAGGATGGACACCCATTACGCCTCAGAAGCCAGGGGCATGTGGATGAGTATCCCCACTCTGCAGATGAAGAACCCTTGCCCTGTGCTTATAGGCAAGTTCTCCACTTTGTGGGGGCCCTTCAGACTTCTGGAGAAACCAGATTCATGTTCCCTTAGGCACCCTGGGGATGTCCCCAGTTTGCAACGAAAAGTATCGAGAAAAGTACTCCCCTGGTTAAAGGAAGGGGATGAGCCACCCTTAGGCTCACCTTGGGTTTTTCTGGGTGATGCTGGAGCCTCTGCTGTGGGTGTAAGGAGCCGCTACTGTGTGTCTCTGTGCCCTACCTGCCTGGATGGGCTCTCTGGGAGCTGCTCTCACATTCCAGTTTCGTGGCACTCCAGGAGGAAGCTTGCCTAATTAGCCACCAAGAGTATTCTGATAGGGGGTGGGCTTGGCATCCAGCAGCCATGGCCCTAAATAAACAGAGTCCATCTGGTCAACCTGAGTGGCCGAGCTGGTCAGACAAGACACTGGCCTTGCAGCTTCCTCTGCTCCACATGCTGGGAGGACAACCCAGGTAGAGGGACAGCCCCGGGCAAAGACCTAGAGATGGGGCCACGTGTCAGGGGGTGACTGCGGCCTGGGAGTCTCACCTCTGATGACTCACCGCTTACAATAGGAGGAACACAGTGAGCTCACCACTGTTCGCACATCTGCATGTGCTCTTCTGAGGTCTCCAGAGGCTCTGTTTTGAAGTTGAGGGGAAAATAACAGGGACTTCCTGCAGGCAGCACGAAGAGAGGTGAGGTGTTCTGGAAAATGGAGGAGAAAATACATTCTATTCTGTGAGCTGGAGGATTATATTAAACTCCGAGCTGAAATCCTTAGGAGGAGAGAGACAAATCAAAATGCCCTGGGAGAGGGCACCAGGCTGGTAAGGAACCCAAATCCACGTGCTGTGGAAGATGGGGGAGGAAATGAGGATGTTTCCACCGGGGAAGATTCCACTCAGTGGGGCCCTGACCATGATCTTTCCGGTCACTGAATTTGGTAAACAGGAGACCTGCTTGCCCTCAGAGCTGGATGGATCGTGCTGGAGAATAGCAAACTCCCTAACCAACAGGTGTCCTACCATAGGCTGGACAACAGCTTTCCGAGACAGTGAGAGTTTCTGTTTCATACCAGAGGGTGGATGAGATTGTGGTTTAGTCACATCAGGACTACCTGAAGAACTCAGAAATTCAGATTCACCGAGTCTGAAATGGACTCTGGGAATCTATTTTTCTTTTGAGAAATTCTTTTTTTTTTTTTAAGGATCTTATTTATTCATTTGATAGAGCAGATAGAGAGAGAGAAAGAGGGAGCGCACACAAGTAGGCGGAGTGGCACGCAGAGGGAGAGGGAAGGGCAGGCTCCCCGCTGAGCAAAGAGCCGCCCCGATGCGGGGCTGGGGCTCGATGCGGGGCTCGATCCCAGAACCCTGGGACCACGACCTCAGCTACTCAGGTGCCCACATTTTGGAAAATCTTAACCAATCTCTATTGATAGTTGTGGTTTACTAAAGGAAGTATAAAACAGAGAAAAACTCGTAAATGCAGGTAGGTGAGGATTCTGCAGGTCCCGGCTGGCCTCAGGGTGTGGAACAGGCATGTCCC